GGTGTTTTTTGAAAGGGAAAAGCATTATAAAAGGGGGGGGGGGGGTGCCCGCATCATAGGCTAGCGTCATGGGAAATGGGAACATCGTGGAGAACTTGAAAGTTAACTTTCCAGGCCATCCACATTGTTACTGAGAAAACGGCTCCTCTGTTAGACAAAATCCAGGCTGGAAGAACCCACCAATGCTTCCTTCTTGCACAGGAAATTCAAATATTATTCCATTCTCAGCCATTACGTATTTTGATTCTCTGTGTAATCTTAGATTTTCTTAGCTTTAGGACAGTGTGTTCTCTTTCCTACCGCCTCTTCTTCTCTGCAATACTTCATAGGAAAACCCAGAGGTTTGGCTGGTGTGTTTTATGGCAACAATCCCAGGAATATAAAAATCCTGTTAGCCTCATATCGGGTGTCACTTCTCCACCTAATCCCTGTTTTAGCTGCTGCCGGCTGATACAGGCTGGTCTTGTCAGGCAAGGTCTTCCTCCCATCCAGCTGCTCTTCCAACCAGCTCCATGTCTGGCCTATTTATATCTTTTCTTGGATTACCAGAACAGTGTTCACCACATGCAAGAAAAAATGAAAACAGACTTAATCATGTGCTTTGGTAAGGAGGTGGCCTGCACATTCTAGTCTCCTCTTGAACCATACAGGGGAAAGTGGACTTGGACTACAGCATGAGACGTTATGGACAGACGTCCCACGATGCTATGTCCCATCTGTAGGGGGCTTCACTTCTTGGCAGCAAGTGTGTTGACTAGGATAGGTGGAGGGGTGGTGCCAAGGGCTGTGAAACTAGTTTCCTTCCTCTGGGAGCTTTCATTGCCATCCTGCCCGAGGGCAGAACCCCATGTCTCTTCCAGTTTGGCATCTCTGTGATTATGTATATTAATTATGAATTATGTTCAACTTCTGCCTTTATGAATCTTTGCTCTTTTGCAATCTTCTTCCCATTTCACCCATATCATTACTTTTGTTATAATCTACATGAGAGTCTTCATGTTCTTGGTTCTACCCAACTGCTTCTGATAATATTTCCTTAAATGGCTCTACTCTGCCCTTTAGCCACAGAGTCTAAAATAAAACGTTTCTGTTTTAATTTTTAAAAATGTTTGGACACATAATAGCTTCACATATTTATAAGACACAGTGCGATGTTTTGATACATGCATATATGTGTAACAATCAAATCAGGGTGTTTAGCATGTTCACCATCTCAGACATTTATCATTTCTTTGTGGTGAGAACATTCAATATCCCCTCCTCTCATTATTTTGCAGTATGTAATGCAATTTTGTTAAAAAAAAAAAGAAAGAAAGAAAGAAAGAAAAGAAATCACTGCTCTGTGCTAGCACACCGGAACTCATTCCTCTTATCTTACTGTGACCCTGTATCTGTTAACCAATCTCTCCTATTCCGCCTATTATTTCCCTTCTCAACAACTGATAAACACCATTGTACTATTTCTATGAGTTCATCTTTTTTAGATTTTGCATATGAGTGAGATTATGCACTGTTTGTCTTTCTGCACCTGGCTCACTTCGCTTAACAGAGTGTCTTCCAGGTTCATCCATGTTGCCTCAAATGACAGGATTTCATTCTTTTTTATGGCTGAATAGTGTTCCATTATGTATGTAGGTCACATTTTCTTTATGAATGATTATTCATTAATAGACACTTGGCTGCTGTGAACAGGGCTGCAATAAACATAGGACTGCAGATCTCTCTTTGACATACTGATTTTGGGTATATTTCTAGTAGTGGGATTGCTGGATCATACGGTAATTCTATTTTTAATTTTCTGAGGAACCTCCATACTGAATATTCCGTACTGGCTGTCCTAATTTACACTCCCACCACAGTGTATGAGAGTTTCTCTTTCTCCAGATCCTCACCAGCATTTATTATCTTTTGTCTTTTTGATAATAGCCATTCTATCTGAGGTGAGGTGATGTGTCATTGTGGCTCCGATGTTCATTTCCCCAAAGATTAGTGATATTGGGCATTTTTTTCATATACCTGCTGGCCATTTATATGTCTTCTGAGAGATGTCTATTCATGTCTTTTGCCCATTTTTTAGTTCAGATTATTTTATTTTTTTGCTCTTGAATTCCTTATATATTGTGCATATTTGTCACATGTATAATTTACACATATTTTCTCCAATTCTATAGGTTGTCTCTTTACTCATAATTGTTTCCTTCACTGTGCAGAAACTTTTTAGCTTTATTTTTTTAAAGGTTTTTGCAAGGCACATTTGTTCTCTGTAGAGGAGCAAGACAGGGAGAGACAGTGAGAGGTAAAGTGAGAAATCACAACCCCCCCCCCACACACACCCCACCCCTGGACACACTATAATCTCTCTACATTCTCCTCCTGGGATTTTGGGTATGCATGCGTACACACCCAGTGTGATTCTCAAGATGCCAGGTCTAGGACTCAAGCCACAGTCAGCCACGTGGAAGTCCAGTGCCTTAATCACTATGCCATACATTGGTCTCACTTTTTAGCTTTTTTCGATTCTCATATGAGTGAGATTATGCAGATATAATCCTGTTTGATTCTTTTTAGTTTTGTTGCTTGTGTGCTTGTGTTCTTCTTGAAAAAAAGTCTTGCCTAGACCAATGTTACAGAGCATCTTCCCTATATTTCTTTATAGTAATTTTATAATTTTGAGCTTTTAACATTTAAGTCTCAACTCCCTATTTTTAGTTGAATTTTGATATGGTGAAAGATAGGAGCCTAGTCCCATTCTTCTATATGCACATATATAGTTTTCCCAGCACCAGTGATTTTGTTTTTTAACGTTTACAGCTATATAGAGGATAGCCAGTTACATTGTGCAGTGGTAATGTAGTTCTCCACAATGCTGGAGCCACATGGGAAAGTCCTGGGTTTGCATCCTAAGGTCTCCCTGTACACACCAGGCATACACATGTGCCTGTGATCCTGGCTGGCTGCATCATAGAATGAGAATCTCTTTGAGAATGTTGAGAATCTCTTTCTCTTTCTCAGAAGAAATAAATTAATAAACTTTAAAACAGAAATGAAAGAGAGAGAGGAAATATTTCCTTTCCTGGTCACACATAATCCATTTTTGTCATACTTATTTTTTTTTCCTTTTTGGTGGTGATTTTGTACTGCTATGTCCTCAATTCACAAGGTGTTTACAAAGGGTTTCTCATTTTCTAAGCTGTTGCAGTGAGAAAAGACATTAAACATAGGCACCTCTAGATGTCAGCAAATTCCAAGTCTTGAAAATGACCTACACTGTGTTTCTCCTACAAATGTTCCTTCCTCTTCATCCAAACACCAACCTCCTTTCATGGTCTCCTTTATGGTCCCTTTTCTTGGCTCTATCCACTTCTTCACCACATGAGGGTAAGCAGATTGGAACTGGCAGCCCCTTGGAAATGTGAGAGCCAAGCCAACTTCTCTTGAAGAGACTCTTGGCACTTCTCATGTCCTTGCCAATGAGTCTCCTATGGGGTTGATCATTGAGCTGGAGTCCTTCGGGGGAGGCACAGTGGTGCCCTCAGCCTCAGTGTTAAGGAGGTAGCAATAGGAGCACATTATGTATTCACCGGTCTTGTGACTGAACTACACTCAGAGCCTGTTCCTCCCTCTCTACAGTAACACTTTATTTCTTCTAGGAGCTGACATCCACACTGCCAGGATCCAAGATGCTGGGCCTGTGTTGGCAGACACACTCCGGAAATTCTTATTCGATCTAGATGTTGATGATGGCCTAGCTGCTATTGGTTACTCCAAGGACGATATCCCTGCGTTAGTGAAAGGAACACTGCCCCAGGTAAGAGATCAAGCAGATTTCTCACTCCTTGCTGCAAAGCACAGAGCTTCAGGAAGGCATGTTCCATTTAGGACATGTTAGAAGGCATATGAACCAGCAGTTCTCAGTCTCCTTCACCTTTATGTTCTTCCATAAAACTGTGGCTTAAGCAAAGCTTGTATGGAGCAACTGAAAGGATCCTTTATGAAAATTCAAGGCAAATATAGCCGAATTGATTTTGAGCTATGACAAAATTTTCCTTTTTCCAATTTATGCTTTATAAAGGGTCCCCTATAAAATTATGTAAAAGTATGTATTAGTGGTTCCAGAAGGACCACTAGTTTTATTTTCTATTATAAGCAGTTACAAATTCCTACTATTAGATTGTCAAAAAAATTCATGAAGTATTTTTCTGTTTTTCTATGCAAAAATCCATCACAACTTTTCTGACAATCCAATATTTTGTGTAGAATAGGCATGACCTTTATATTAAGATTGTTAAAAAATGGCTTTTCGATGAATTTGAGAGGTTGACTATTTTTATACGTACCTGTGTCACTTTGGGTCCTATTTTATTTATTTAAATGTTGCTGAAAAATGTAAACTGAGGCCCAGCCATTATGGCACAAATGGTAGGGCACTACTGCATATTGCTGGAGCCTTGTGAAGGGCCCAGGTTCAGATTCCAGACCAACCTGAACACACTGAATACAGCATCATAGGTTTATAATCCTAGCTAACTGGGAGGCAGGAACAGAAGGGTCACAGCATGGGGATACTTTCTCAAAAAATATGTATTAATAGCTCTCCCTCTCCTCTATGACCTTTCTCTCTTATTCTTCTCTCTCTCTATTTTTCACTCTCATAAGAAAAAATAAAAGGATGTAAACTGAGCTTCTATACTTTGTTTACTAGAATCATAAAAGATGTCAAATTCCCTCTCCTGTGATTCTGATAAAAATAGTTGATCCCTCATTGGATTGCCTTTGTGGTTGAACGTCAGATCCTAATAGACCAAGATCTTGTTTGTTGCCACTCACCATGGAGCCGTTATTAGGGCTGGTCAGTGGCCCACACCATACTCCCCACACCCAGAATTCTCCCTTAGTCCTCCTGGTCAATATGAGACAGGCAATGGTCACCCTATCACCATGAGGGTATGAGGATATGGTTCTTCTGCCCAAAGTTAAAGTGTTCAAGGATGTCTCCCTGAACTAGAGCAGATTTTACAGCTGGGATAACCAGCCACACAGCACCCTTCCTTCTTACCACAAGTAGCAGCACTTTTCCCTCATCCACTCCAGTTAAGCAAGGGCCTCGAGCTGGCTGCTGCCAGCGCTTACATTATTGATGACCTCACCACTCACATAAAATAGGCAATTGGGTTCACAGACTCATGAGCCCACTGGAGCCAGGTAGGGAATAGCAATGAATCAAATAATTTAAGGCAATAGAGAGTAATGGAGACCTCAGAAAGCACATGGCCCATTTGATTAGGTAAACAGCTACTCAGCTACAATTTATCACCAAGCAGAAATCTAGGTCCTAGGATTGATAGTATTTCCAACCTTTAAGAAAAATCAGCAATCTGGATGTATTGAATTCCCTAGTTTTCCAATGTATAAATAAAACATGGCCAATGGGACACCTGTTTTCCTGACTGAGATTCATGTATCCATCCATCTGCTAGATAGCATGGGCTAGTCAACCTGATAGGGGAACACATACGTGCAGCCCCGTCCTCTGCCCAGGTGAGCTTAAAAACCAAACAGTGGTAACATTTTGAGAAGTTTTCTTACACTGACTAGGACTCAGCAGAACACAGAAGAGCTACAGAAGAGCTACAGAAATCTGTCCAGGGACACCACAGACCAAGTGGTCACATGACTTTAGTATCGCTTCAGGTTTTATTGCATGGTCCCAGGGCTGTCTCTTCCTCAAGGGGACCTCTGGAAGTGTTGCTTGTTTATCCCAGGGAAGTATTCAGGAACATGTGTCTATCTCCAAGAGTGATATCAGTGATTTTTACAATGAATCTATGGCCATTTAATTGCTGATGGCAATGCATCTTCCAGTCATCAACACACATACTGTTCTAATTCCACTGGGCTTGCACTCTCTTCTTCAAAACTATTCCTGACAGCAGATCCAGACTACCTTTTGAGACCATCCCCTAAAATAGCAAGTTAATGAAGTATCATCTTGTATACCTCAGTGCCTATGTCAATTGGGAAATTACAGATACCAAAATTTTTTTTTTCACATGAAAAATTTTTTTTCTTTTTTTTTTGTTGGGGGGAGAGGTTTTTGCTATAGGGCACGTGTGCTCGCCAGACAGACAGACAGAAAGAGAGACAGAAAGCAAGAAATCACCCCCCCCCCCAGGGGCTATGGCCACGCCGCAATCCCTTCTCCTCCATTCTCCTCTCGGGATCTTGGACACGCACGCATGCACACGCATTCGGCGTGAGTTTAAGCCACCGGAGTCCAGCGACATAGCCATACGCTAACTGCTGGTCCCCTTCACATGAAAATTTTGAGTTTATTAATCCTCTCATGGAGAATCTGCACAATCACTGCAGGTAGTCACTGCAGACTCTCCTCCTTCCACTTTTTGTCAGCACCAACACTGGCCTTTGCAGTCCCCCTGACTTTTTCCATTCTGTTCTTGTGTTCCTTTCACTGCTTTCTTGACATTTTTTTCTTCTCATAGAGGTCATGTTTTGCAAGTGTATGTCTAGGTTCATTTTTCTTTGCATAATCCAAAGAATCATAAGTCATGCCAAAATCAGTTGTCTTGCCACCACCAAAATGGGTTCTGAGCCCAAACACAAAGATGACATCTGGTGTGGTCTTGTGCACCTTTGATAGTTTTCCCCGAATTTCTGTCTTAGGTGCTGTTGCCTTCCTGGGGTGAAGGACATCAATGACCATTTATTTCCTCTGAAGTAGTCAGTTGGTCATGAATTTTCTGGTACAGATAGTTATTGGGTCATTCATGATGGCGGTCAATCCTCAGACAGCCAGGGAGGACCAGATACCAAAACTTTAATTAGACAAAATGAATCTCATAGTTTCACACAGGATAGGAGGTAAGTAGAATCTTTTCAATATAAGTCATATCTGGGATCAGCAGATGGTGGAATGGTTACATTGCAGGACTCCCATGTGGTTGGCTGCAGTTCACATCCAGGACCCAGCAGTTTAAAACATGCCAAGCACATGTGTGTGCATGTCCAAAATCCCAAGAGGAGAATGAAGAAGAGGTTGCGGGGTAGCCATCCACCTAGGGGGTGATTTCTCACTTCCTGTTTCTCTGTTCTGCAAGTTCATGTGCCCTATAGCAAAAAATCTCTCTTATAAAAAAAATATACATACACACAGACACATACGTGTATGTATGTGTGTGTGCATGTGCGTGTGTGTGTGTGTGGTATCTTAAAGTAAAAGCCAGGTTTTCTCCAAAATGTGTTTGTAAAGCAGCTCCAACATATCTACTGCCTTTTTTCCTTTGATTAGGAGAAACAGGAATCCTAGGAAGAAATCTTAGAAATAAGTTTATCCATTTTGCAGATGAAGAACTACTTAGGGTTTTCTATTTTGTGTTTCTGCAGTAGAGAACATTTTACGGTTGCTACAGCAACTTCAGAATTGTACGCACGCAGCAGAGTAATCTTCACTTATTAGGATCATTACATAAGCTAAGGTAGTGTGAAGGATAAGCTGGTTTCTGCACAGAACCTTGCCAGAAAGCTTATTCCATGTAGTTGACATTTGATAAAGGCTCTTTTATGTTTGGCAATGATCCGTTTTCTCTGGAAGGAACAACCAGGCCAGTATTCTTAACCAAACACCACAACCCTTACTGGGGGCAATAATAGCCCTGTGTACAGAGGCTTCCAACTGCCATGGCCAGGCTGCAAGGGGTGAGAGAAAGAATTAATCTTCCAAGTTAGATTTTTTTTTTTGAAGCCTCTGGAACAAAACATTTACATTTCAAATCAAAACATTTTATTACTGAGGAGAGCTGTCTACCCACATGAGCATTTCCACTCCCTGGTAGACAGGCCAGCTGAAATGTTGTTGTTTTATGAATGTGCTAAAAGTAGAAATCTGATTTATTTCAGTGCCCATGTTAATCAGTTGTCCTTCAGTCTTACATGCCTATAAATAATAGCACATTGCTCAACACATGTCAACTTGGAGAAGGTTTAGCTTTTGTATGGCACAGCTGGTACATGGGGTATATCACAAATAGTCCTCACCCTATTAAACCAACCAGTGGGAGCTAGAATGTCAAAGAGAAATTCAGGTTGGGCTTGGCCTCTGGTACCTCTAAGAGTCCTGAATCACTTCACCAATGATAAACAGGTCATGTTTAGGGCCTCCTTTGAGCTTGTCGGATAAGATGATCCTGTTACAAATAAATACATGCGACACAATCCTCTACAGACAGCCATCTGCAACCACTGGAAAAACTGACCCTCCACCAAACATATACATGAGTCACCATGAATGAGTCTCTGCCTTGCTATGGATTTTCAGAATTTCTTAGGGTCTCTAAAAGATCTCCTGGGGTATAAAATGGTGCCTTTGCCTTGCCTGGGCTTATTAGCATTGTTCCACTATGTGTTCCCCCATCCATCCATCCATCCATCCATCCTTCATCTTTTTTTTTTTTTTTAAGTTTGCCACAGGGCATGTATGCTTGCCAGTGAGAGACAAAGAGAAAGAGAGAAAGAGATAAAGGGAAAGTGATAAATCATCCCCCGAGGGGGATGGCCATGCTGTAGTCCCTTTTCCTCCGAGAATCTGCACAATCACTGCAGGTAGTCACTGCAGACTCTCCTCCTTCCACTTTTTGTCAGCACCAACACTGGCCTTTGCAGTCCCCCTGACTTTTTCCATTCTGTTCTTGTGTTCCTTTCACTGCTTTCTTGACATTTTTTTCTTCTCATAGAGGTCATGTTTTGCAAGTGTATGTCTAGGTTCATTTTTCTTTGCATAATCCAAAGAATCAT